ACAGATGTGTCTATAATCTAATGTATATTCGATTATAGGTGCTCTTATTTTTGTTGTCTACTCCTGATTTTCTCATGCTAATTTTTGCACATTTATTGTAAAAAATCAGTCAATCAATTAAAATAAATCACTCTTTGGATTTTAATCAGTTATAATAACAACCATGCCTGATCCTGCACGTGTGTATTAAAAGACTGACAATTTGTTTTCCTTAAAAATAACCAAGAACAGGAACAGCACTGTGCTGTATTTAACTCTGCTTTCCCTTTTTAATGTGGTACTGTGCTGTGTGGCTTCATGTATGCATGTAAAGAAAAGCATACTGTATGTGTTGATATCCTTATCAAAAACAATTCTTGTGCAGCCTTATTTATTGAAGAAATAAAAACACTGAATAATCGTTGTGGTTGGATTTTTCTGGAGAAACATGGAAAAGTAGGGATTCAGATTGTTGATGTCATTCACCATATGAGGGAAATACAAAATTACTTGACACTAAGAACTGTAGCGTAACAGATTAAAACACAAGAGCGTTCACACTGAGAAACTTGTTAAGAAACAGTTTTTCTTAACTACAGGAATAAAGAAAAGACGCCTACGTGACTTTTTTCGCCCTCATTTTAATTAACTGCGAGGAAGTGTTGCTTTGGAAACATTAACATTATTCATTAAGTTGAGAGCACCCCAGGTTCAACTTCACTACCAATCTAATTTTCTACAAAGGATCGGATTGACATTATTGGCATCACCTTGGTGTGGTCTGTTTAAAATTCCTGGGTTGATGTGCAACACTTCCAGAGGCTGAAACAAACCTCCACCCACTTTTTAAACAGCATTAGTATCGCAGACAACAGTGCTTGTACTGCTTGCCCTCAAATGCACTCTGCATTTTAGGAGGGAAGTGTCAATGTCAAGTGTCTCAAAAATAGTAATTAGCGTAAACGGCTGCGATATTGTCTTAATTAAAAACAAAATCTATCCACCCATCTAATTATTTGTCTGTTATCTGTTTTTTTAACACTGTGATTAACTACAAGATAAATATCCAGACAATTAATGAGATGTTTAAATAGACTGGACAAGCTTAACCTAGGAAGGCACTCTCTTAGGGATTCATTTAATGGACTGTAATGCTTCCAATTTAGTGCAGCTTATTGTATCTTTGTTTGCCGCTGAGACAGCCTTTTGCAAAGGAGTATTTTTTTCAGCACGCTGACCAAAATCATGATGACAGCAAAGCTACAGCTGGGGGGTTTCCAAACCTTTGAAGATAATACACATGTGCATCCAAAAGCACGTATAAGAAAGCACACTGGACTTTCAATCTTAGAAAGTACAAAAGAGAAATATGTATATCTATACAGCGTATCTGCTGAAGTGATCCACTTCCATCAGAGCTGAACCGAAGTGGAATAAAATGAAAATGAAAGCCCACATGCCAGCAGGGAGCCAAACAAATAAGCATGAAGTTTTTGACTTAGATGCAAAGTAATTTATTTTCCTCCAGTGTAAAAAAAAAAAAAAAAAGGTCTGGAGGATAAGCTTTTCACTCGCAACCAATATAGGCAAGCACTGAGATGTAGCTAGAGGCGGAATTAAAGAAAAAGAACTAATATGGCACATAACTGAAGAAACTGTCGGATTAATGCTATATGGACGCGCATACAGTAGTTGGGTGTTTTTCAAAAGACTTAAACTAAATCTAAAACAATAATTTACCACGCTTATGTGTGAGATTTTTTTTTTTTCTAGAGACAGATGGAAACGTTATAGTTAAGAGGATTATAAATATTACCCAATATGCTGTTTTTTGTAACATAAGCTTTAATTAGGAATCACTTCATAGATAATAACTGCGGAGTTTTAAGGTACAAAACATTGCACCGCGCATCTTTATTCTCATCTGATTTTCGTCTCAACAGTCCCATTCTCACGCACCAATTCTCTTCTCCTCAGTTTCCCTAATACTATGTCTCTAAAACTCTGTCTCTCCCTCTTGAAATCCAGACCATGACTTGCCATACCAGCTGTTCTTGTGCAGCAGCACTACCCCAGGCACCCGGTTAACGCAAAACACAAATTTATTTTGGCATGTTTAATTCTTGGCCTGAGATAGCTTCCTCAGTGGTGACTTGAGGACAATTTTTCTTCTTAAGTTACGTGCAAGTGAGACAAAGAAAGATAAAGAAAGAAAGAGAGAGAAGACAGAGATTAAAAGAGCTTCTCTGTGTTTAATTTTCTTCATCCTACCTCCACTGAGTTGTCCACAGTCATGTCTGACAGGTTCAGGTCCACGTTCAGTCCAACACCCTCCTGTATTAATCGAAATGTAGCTGGTTATGAAAGTGCATTGAAATAAATAATCAAAATGAACTACCAATCTCTTCAACCGCTGACATAACAGTGGTTTTAAATGCTGCGTGTCCTTCCATTAAGGTAGAGCTGAAACAATTAGACAATTAATCAATCAGTCTACTGACAGAAGAATAATCAGAAACTATTTTGATAATCGATGAATTGCTAAAAGGACCAGTGTGTAGAATTTAGTGGTATCTAACGGTGAAGTTGAAACTCTACAGCCAGTGTTTGGTTTGGATACTAAATGTTACACACTGGACCTTTAAATCATTTTTTGTCAAACATTTCTTAGACTCAGTTTCTCAATATATTTGGGTTTTAGAAGTTTTGGTCGGATTAAAAAAGGAATTTGAAGACACTACCTTGGGCTTTAAGAAAGTATTTCTCATTATTTTTTTGACTAAACAATGAATCCATTAAGAAACTAATCTGCCAGTTAATCAGTAAAGAAAATAATCTTTAGTTGCAACTTTACAATAATATTCTGACAATATTTTGGAACAAATAAGTGTCCCATTAATATGCAAAAAATGCAAACCTACTACTAATATTCAATTCATATGAACAGTCTGGTAGTGTTTGTTTCCAACAGTACGGTTTTTATAAAATACATTATATTCTAGCATTGCATACCAATAAGTAATAATATAATATTTCCCAGTTCTTAATAAACAACTGAGGCCTAACTAAATATCTGCACTTTTACCACTATGATTAAATGTTTAGATCTGGCCACCATGTGATTAAATTTACTTTTTACCAGTATGTCAGATTACAAAACAATTTCAGTTTAAGCTCCAAACTTTGCAGGTATGTGAAACTTTCAGATTTGTGTGTTAACCACGGAGCTTTTTCTATATCTTATCTGTGACTGTGTGATAAGTGGTGAAACTTTGCCTGAGTGTGTTTAAGCCTTGCTGTATCCAATGCACTTGATCACTATCTCAGTGAGTGACAATGTGCTTATGCCCTGACGCCCTCTAGTGCATATAAATGGTAAAAACATGAGGAATCTATCAGCCAAACTACTAGATAGCCTACCGGTATTTTGTATTGAAAATATAAATCTACAATTGTGGCCCCAAAATCCATTGTGATAATTTATTGGATTGGGACACCTCACACAAGAAATCGGGGCTGCAACTACTAATTTTTTTTATTATCAATTAATCTGCCAATAATTTTCTCAGTTAACTGATTGTCTTTTCTGTAAAATTCCCATTATAATTTCAATTTAAGGGCAGTTGTGTTTACTTTAATCTCACCTGTAATTCAAAGATATATATAGCCAATATTTTTACTAAAATTATTAATCAATTATCAAAATAGTTATAGATTCATTTTGTTGTTTCATCTGTACAGGTAATTCCCAGCAAAGCTCCACCTATCTTCGACACAGAGGTCTTAACAGCCAGGATACTTAAAAAGACTTGAGTGGGTGTACAGGACCTTTAAGTGACAACCCTGATTACTCCTGCACTCTCAGCCCAGTCTCATGTACATCTCTATTCATTTCATAAACAATACCACGGCTTACTACTTACATTACATATATTTATTATTGACTGCTTTAGGTGAACATTAGAAAGTATTCACCTGCATGAGTGTGAATTTAAACTATTCCTTTGTGGATCTGGCAAAGTGTAAGACTAGCAGCTGTCAGACTTTGAGAAATTAGACATAATCACTTTAACTATAGACCTTCAAAAAGGCTTAGGACACCGTTCATGTGAGCTTGTGGTAAATACCTCAGCAGCTACTCTTATCAGCACGGCTTAAGAGTTATAGTGAGACACTTTAGGAGGGAAAAAGCATGTTAATCTGCAGCAATCTTCAAATTTAAGACAAGCTGGTAATAAATAAGAGAGCCTTGATGGCCCCTTTCTTTTGGTGTCTCAACAGAAACTTTTAGGGTTAATCAGTAATTTCTGGAGAAGTGGGTTTACTCTCATTTTAAAGCAGAACAACCAGCAAAGGATAAACCTCCTGTTATGCACAGTGGCATATTTAACAAAAATGGGTACCAGTAATGTTTGCACAATGTCACTTAACTGTTGCTGCTTGACTTCAGGCAGTAAGGATCATTATTTAATGACAGAATAATCAATACTAGCCCCCAGACTACAGGGTGAGACAACCACATAGGTAGGAAAAAAACTACACATCAGAGAAGATTTAGAAATGTGTATACCCAATACTGACTCCATATACCTGCGTACAACCTGCACTAAACCACCAGGGTTAATAAACATAACCTCCCTCCATTAAAAGGTTTACATGATTGTAAAGTAGCATTAAATAAAGTTTAAAAAAAATATATATTTCTGTTTCAGCACCTCTTCTTCCCCTTGAGATACACATTTATTTATTTATTTATT